TCTTCTATATATATATATATATATATATATATATATATAAACTGAATCGGCTGAGTTATCTAAGCTAGATCGACAAACATATCAAGCCAAATCACTTAATATGATTGTAATATGGAATATAGTATAACAAGGTTCATAGTAGTTTGGAAAATTGAGTGGCAGACACACTAGACGAGCTGAAAGGTGACCCTTATTGAATGGGCCTCAACTTTTTGAGAAGTTTAAAATTTTTTAAATTCAGGCCCTTATTAAATGGACCTGAACTTGGTCTGAGATAATTGGATTGGTGAAGCAGGTTACATAGGCGAGTTCCTAGAAATGAGCATGGAAACTAAATGTGGAAAATTTAGGTGACAAAGAGATGACGGCATAAACTTCATTCTCGAACATCATTGTTTTATCGTGCTAAATATATCTGGTATTGGCTAACCTTTGTTCCTTGTCTGGTCTAATGACCAATTGACAGCAATGGATTGTTTAACCATTGATTGTTTGGAGGAGTCGAGCGTTCACTTACATTACAGTGAGGTATTAGTGGTTGACTTGGGATCATATGGTTTGAGACGAGACATGTAATCCATGCTGGCTACTTGTCTCATTTCATCTGAGCTCCTGCAAGTGGACTGTAATTCTGCAGTTGTGAAGAGCCTCTGATGAGGCTCTTTTGGGTTCAATAATTGTGGGATAAAATTCTGAATAAAATGAAGAGTAGAAAAGGCCATGGCTGAGTTTTGAAATGAACTGATACAATAGAAAATGGTTGTTGTGATTAAATCATTGAATACTTTTGTAGGTTTGATAATCATAGGATAAAAGTAAAAAAGGATTGGTCGTGTGCCATGGTTATGGTTAGAAATGGACAGATTTAGTTGAGATTGCTAGTAAACAGGCAACTATATAAGAATTTTGTTTACAGCTTGCTATTATCACTATCAAGGTTTGAATCGGTGATCATGATGTATGCTTTTGATATTATTATCACTATTACAATCACTATTTTTATCCTTCATTATTTTTTTATTTTTTTTTATGTTTTTCTTGCTAAAAATGACAAAGGTGTTCATGATCTAGTAATTTATTACTTTGTGAACTGGAAAATTTATTTTCTTTACTTGTATTCATTGTTTTACGGAAAAAGCTCATATAAGGTTGCAACCTTGAAAAGAAGAAGTTTAAATTTTTGTAATTAGAGATGGAAATAGATTCTCGAACCATCCTAAAAAATTTTAACACCAAAATTACATTTATAGAAAATTTTGGAGGTCCACCAACCTTAATTTGATTGTTTAAGGTTTCAACCTTATACAAACCGCACCCTTGTTTTACATGACACATTTGCGTTAAGGCAAAAGATTTTATCCAAGTATCTCATCCATTTACACCATTGTGTAAAAGGAGTAAATTTCTTTTTTTTTTTTTGAGGAAATAGTTAACTTTATATAAATAGTAGAATGTATTACATCAAATGGTTATAAAGACAAAGACGGCAACCCACAAGTTGGGTTCTCGAACTACAATATAAACAGTTGGAGGGGAGAGAGAAGAAAAATACAGAAATAGGTTAGTGGAAGAGACGAGAGCATTAGAGAGAAGAACAATTAACGGTGTTTTGAGAAGGAGGAGAAGTGCTTCGACTTGAATTAGTGTTATGTTCAGTGTTGTCACCAGAACAGGGTTGATCTTCAGTTCTCATTCGGCGGAGATTGCCGAATGGAACTAGGATAAGACATGAAGGGGAAGGCGGGAGAAGGGCAGAGAATTATTAGAAAAACTGGGAGATCTAACCACTAACCGTCCAGTTAGATTGGAACCAGTCAGTTTTGGGCGGTATTGGTGATTGACTAATATTTAAAAAAAAAAATTTAAAAAAATGTGTATGAATTCCCAAAAATAAGGAATTTGGTTTGTAATGTATTTTTTAATATTATTTATATTAAGGTAAAGATTAAAAATTAATTTTGTCATTAACACTCACTTTAATTCAAAAATCGATTCGTTAAAATCTATTTTTCATTAATTTTCAACTTCATTTGAATGTGTTTTGTTTTAATCATTCTTTATATGCTTTTCATATTTTAGTAAAATTTTTTTTTTGTATATTTTTTATTTTTTCAACACTTTTTTGATCGCCCGGGATTTGTCTTGATAGAACAATTGAATCGATCGGTTTATAAGTTAAGCCAATTAAACCGCTTCTAGACTCATATCCAGTTAACCATTCGGATTCAATTTTACGAATAATGGGGCAGAGGGATGAAGGTAGGCAGAGAGGAATCGAGGTTGGACGAAGGAGGGGGCAAGGAGAGGAGGGGTGTAGAGAAGGGAGCATGAGGGACGGGACCTCTTTCAACTCATAGACTTTCCTCACTAGAAAAATCGTTTTGAATTGAAATCTGTATGTACCAAAAATAAAAAAAATGTTATCAATATTTAACAATGATTGTTTAATTCCTGAAGGGTGAATTTAGGTTTTGTTTGACAACCCCGATATCCTAATATTTCATGATATTACAAAATCTATAATAATCTTAATTTTAAAAGATATTAAAAAGGTTTGTGACATGTTTGATGGAACAAAAGAATGCTTTTAGAATCTACATAATTTATATGATGTGAAGGAAGAAGTTTATATTAGAGTCGAGGCTCTAAACAATCAAATTAGAGCCCACCTCAAAAATTTCACTAAAAGAGGTTATTTTGATACTCAAATATCCTCAAATTAATCATCTCGACATTAACATGTATGGACATGAGAAAAAAATAGATTTCAAGTTTTGGAAATAATGCATCTTGTAACGCATTTTTGGTCCATCAATTTTCAAGATTTTCAAGTTTTTATAGATCTACTAAATCTACACTGCTATTTAAATTTAAAGTTTGTTATTAAAGATGAAAATATATTTTAAGGCTATCATAAAGATTTTCAAAATTAAAATAACATTTCATGATGCTATTTTATTAAAGTGCGCTTTACTTTGATTGTTTAGAGCGTCGGCTCTATACTAACCTCACCCTTTTCTGAATCCAACTAAATCATGTCTCTTCAAGTGAGACTTGAATTTTGTGAGATTCATTTCTTGGTCGTTTTTTGCTTTGGAAATCCGGCGCATTGGTTGCCGGAAAATTTTTTCTAGGAAGGTGAGACGTAATGTTGATTTTTCAGGCGAGGAGAGGCAATATTGATGTGAAAGCAGAGGCCGTAGTGAAAGGTTCATGAATCCTTGGGGGCCTTTTAACCTCCTCCCAATTATGTTTCTCTAAAATTTTGTATGGACAATCAATGGAATATTGATGAATATATCTCTCTTCGTAATGGAAAAATATTCTCTCTCTTCGTAATAGACAATCAAATAAACGCAAAAGAATATATATACTAGGATAATATATAACTCAAATATGTGAAAGGCCTTTATTCCGATATCCAAAATCTTGAATATTGAGGTAACAAACGAGTCCACAAAAAAAAGTATAAGGAAAGACATTATAAGGAATATGAGTTGATCATGTTCTCGTATTTCTTCATTATCATCAGAGCCTTATTCCAAAATGACATCATATTAAGTTTCAAATGTCAAATAGTTATACAAGTGTGACTGCAGATAAAGCAATAAAGCTATGTCGCTGTTATTATTATATGACCACTTTCGAGGGACATATATTTATTACAACTTAGGAGATCATTCCAACATTTATTTAGATTAGATTATGGCGACCAAGCGTACAATGAAATCACGACCACCTCACTGGATCCTGCTCATCAAAGGATAGAATGTCAGATGGCATAAAAAACCCAAAAAATTATGGAATTTAAATGGTAAACAATTTGGGTGGCGCTACCCACATATAAAACACATGCAATTGGTCTTTTTCTTTGTATAATTGGTTATTTTGCGAGTGAAGTGACTTGGGCTAGAGAAAATGATGAAATGGTTTGATATTTTTGTAACTACACTAAAAGGAACATAGGAGAAATGTTTATGATTCATGAAACCGATATCGAGGAATCTCCTAATTTCCCAAAGGGAATTGAGTGCAAGAAAAAAGCTTCAGATTGGTTTGAGAGTGTGTGCGCTTGAGAGATAGAGACAGAGAGATCTTACGAGGAACAAGTGGTGTTGAGACTAATTGGAAAGCCCAGAGTGACTCTGCATTTTTCGGGCAGCATTTTGACAGCCTGAGGGTCGATCTGCGGAATTTTTGCAGCCTCATTCTCCAAGCAATTGCAAATGGCTCGCCTATTCTCAGTAGTGTTAGCCATCCCCTTCAAATTCTTCACTCCAGTACAGCAATCAGTTGAAGGGGTTCCAGTGCCATTCTTAATAACCAGGTAATTAACACAAGGCCCAATGTTTTCCATCACCTTGTTACAGGAAGGCACCCCTTTGATGGCACAAACTAAAAGCATAAAACAAAGAAAGGAACATAAACCAGAAACAAAAGTGGAAGCCATTTTTATCTCTTCTACCTTCCCTTTCGTCGCTAATGAAAGAGAAATGTATCTGAACTCTTGATCTGTGGTGATGGTGGGCCTCTAAATTGGGTTGGTGTCTATATAGTTGGGATTGTGGGCATTTAAAGGGAGGACAATTCATGTGATTCACACATGGGGAAAACTAAATAAGAGAGAATCTCACTGGAAATTCATGTGTATTGCAGGTGAAAAAGTCAATAGACTTCTATATTTGTTGCCAAGAACTAAATTTATTTCCCTTTGTTGAAATCAAATCTAAATGAAACAATGCTACAATTAGAATGGAATGACATTATGAAGCTCACGTGCTATTTCTTCCTCTATATATATACACACTAGCTCATATGAGCCCAACGGTCCAGATTGAATCGGAGCCGATCTAACCATCACAGATGTTCAGTAGTGCTAGAATTTTATTTTACTTTCTATATATCCAAATCACTTGTAATTTTAGGTGCGTGTTCTTCTCATCAAGGTACACCTAAAAATATAAAAAAAATTATTCATGAAAAATAAAATGATCAAAATACCCCCCGAATCTTTTCCGGAGTATTTTGGTCAATTTATTTCATGTAAAATATTTTTTTGATTTTTTTGAAGATTTACTTATTTTTGATAAACACAGACCTAAAATTTCAAGTGATTTGGATTTATAGAAAAATGAATAAAATTTAACACTACCGGACATTCTTGATCGTTAGATTGCCCCAGATTCAATCTGGGTCATTGAGTTCATATGTTCATATGAGCTAGTGGGCTAATCCCAGCTTTTCACACACACACACACACACACACACACACACACACACACACACACACACACATATATATATATATATATATATATATATA